GAAATTTGGATTTTCCAATTGTAACTTCCAGGTAACTATCAAGCCCAACATTGTTAGCAGTGCTCCTTCTTAACTGAGACGTGGACAATTCCCTCTGCTATTGTTGTCTTATATTAGTTCTCCCTGTGAGCAATTCAGTGTGTCTCTCTATTTAAGTTACTTCGAAATTCACTCCATTGAAGTGACTAAAAGCAATGTCAAATGGAAAGTGGCTATAAGAGCAAAAACCAACATAAAACAATGTGTAATTATATGCTGTTCTATGGAAGTCCAATGTTACTAAATATAGAGATTAATACTGAAGAAAATAAGATCAGTCGGAAATAACATACAACCTTAAGATATTGGTCATTCATTTCTGAGTACCTTTATCAAAAAATCAATTAATCTTTTAAGAATTTAATCTTCTTAAAAGGTACACAGTCTACTGTTGTTACATAGAGTATTCATGTTTCAGACCGAGATCATCATCTGGCCTTTGGCTAGATGTCTTAGATCTTCTTGGCTATTTACAGTGCAAATTTTTCAAGAGAGTGAATTTAACTCTGTGTGTGTCATTCTAGGTAGGGAGCTGACTGGATGCCTCTCTAACACAAGCAATGGTTGAAAGTGCTCAGCACATAACAAGATCACTCCTGAAAGGCCCAGGTAAGATCTGTGCTGGCATTAATATGAGCTTCAATACTGACAAATGACAACAGTTAGGACCCAGAAACACATTACCAGAAATAAAACAAAACTGAGTTTACCAGATTAGTAATACATAGAACCAACTATCACTTTCAAAACTGAATTTCATTTCCTAGAATAACTTTCAGTCAAGTATAGCTCAATTATTTAGTTGCTTATTTTCCCAAAACTTCTATTTGCGTGCATTAAAAAAACAAACATAGAAAAGTCGTTTTTCCTATCTAATAGATTTTTCAGGAACTTTGAGTCATGATAAGCTCTCTCTTCCTCCATTTTCACTTATACAAAACTAGTAGGAATTACTGACAGATATGCTGGTCACACCGCTATTATTATGTAATAGGACTTGCATGTAGCTTCTTATAGGTCTACAGATAAAGATTTAAAATTAACTGGTTAGGTTTTAAACATCCCATTTTATCTCAATCTACAAGAGAGCTGGAATAAAAATAATTCATCAAACCCTCTATAGAACATTGTTTCCACCGTTAATGAAAATTCTCAACTTTTTCAGATTCTTTTCAAAATCACTCAGCTGTATACATACAAAGAAAAAGTTTGCTGAACTAGATTCTGTCAGTTTATGAAGCTAATCATTGTAGACATATTCATTACTATTTCATTTAGATTTTTAGAAAAGATGCTTCTGTTCATTCATCTCTCAACAAAGCTTAGGAACTGCACAAAACTAAACTGTAACATGGCTCAATTGTTTGCTGAGATTTTTATAGTAGCTCAAATATTTAGCAGTTTACCTGTAAACTTCTTTGCCATAAACAGAATAATCAGAAAATATTATTTGCTGCTTGAATACCTTGGTTAAAATATGGTGCACATGCAAACTGCAATCCAACTTTTTTATGAAAAAGTGATTAAGTCTGATGAAACATAAAAACTGGAGTGTAAGTCCAAATCTGAACTGCCTATTCCTCTTGAAAGAACAATACAGTTTACTCTGTATAGCTTTTAAAAACAGCTATTAAGAGCTGTGTGGCTCTTATCCATGATTCTAAAGCAGTTACATGTAGAGATGTTTCAAGTGCCATCACTAGCCAGATTTAAACATTGCCACTTCAACTACAAAGTAAATTTGGTTGTCACTCACTATAAATGATAATGAAGATGTACACTGAAACCCACCCTTTGGAGGGGTTAATTGGGATTTTGCCATTTATCTTAACAGGACCAACATCTACCCAAGATTTATAGAGTTTTCATACTCTAATACATACCAGTAGATACAGAAACACAGTTTTTAGTTCATTCAGAACTATTTCATGTCAGCTAGCATATGACAGCTATAGTAAGAATCAGAGTGGTAGCTTAGCAAAAGTTGCCTACCAGCAAAGGTTATCACATGTCTGAAGAAATTACACTGAAGTATTAGCTCTCCTGTATTTAATTTATCTACTTGACAATTATGCCTAGGATTCTGAGAGGTGAATTAAATTCTCTCTTCAGCTCAACACCACCTGCAGTTTGAGCTGTTGGCAGCAAAGAAATGTCATCCTGGTCAGCCCTGATACACAGCCCTAAAGCAGCATAAGGACCCTTTCGCTGACCAAACACAAGGGTTCCCCCAACAGCGTCATCCTTCAACCACTGAGGGGGAAAAGGAGCAGAAGCAAGACCTTAATTTCATTCAGTGCCTATGAAAAAGCAAAGGCATTATATTGTGATGCCTTGTTTAATTCATTCTATACTCCCTCTAATCAGACTACTTAACTCTAAAGTGCACAGTCCTGAGAAGAGTATCACACACTGCATTACCCTTAAGAAGTTCAAGGGTTACCAGTGTATGTAAAAGCTTGTCAGGAAGACATAATCTGTTAGATATCGACAATATTGACTTTGAGAGGTCTTAGGACACACATCTTTCTATTGACTCTTTTTTATGAATGATTTTTTCATTCATCATTTCAGCTACAATTGCCATTCTGTAACTAAAATAAACCAGAAGTTTTTCTCTCCTTTGCAAATTGTCAACTACATTAACCTTGTCAAAAAAACCTACAAGAATGAAATCAATATAGAAATTTAAAGACAAAATTGACAGGCACTATATTGTATTTGGACAGATTCAGTAAATAGCCTCCTACATCAATCTACTGTCATCAATGGCAATATTCTAAAACCTACTAATGTTGTTTATTACATTTGCGGTGTGAAACGCCAAAGTAAGTACAGATACCGGTCCAGCAGAAGAAAAATAACACGGAGATAACATCTGACGTGCCCGAGAAGCACGAACTAGTGACTCAGGTGTCATTTAAAGGCGCTGTAGTTCCAGCGCGGAGAGCGGCTGCTCTACAGCCGGTACGCTGCCGGCACTGACTTGCTCCCCAGCGCAGAAGCCGCAGCGCAAACTCCGGGATCCACCGTGCCCCGTGCCCGCGCTGCGCCCCGACCGCCGGCTCCGGGCAGCGGCGGCCGGCCGGCCCTCGCCCCTTCCCACAGGGTGCCCCGCACACGCTGCCCAGCGGGTCGGAGCTCCTACAACCCACTCCCTCTTCCACCTAAATTTTGGGTGCAGTGCCAGCCAGAGACTGTGTTCCCCCCGGTACCCCGCTCCCGCCTGCCCCGCGGCCGCTGTCCCGGGGGCGGCGGGTGGGAAGGGCAGGCGGCTAAGTTGCCAGGACTTACGGTGGCAGCGCTACCGACGCTGGCGCGGCACCTCTCCCGGCCTCCCGTCACCTCGGGCCACCTCCGCGGCGGCTCCGTGCCCGCACCCGAGCAGCCCGGCCGCCCCTTCACTCCTCGGAGGGGCGCATGGCGCTGCCCGCTCCCCGAGACCCACCCGGTGGGTCTTCGCGTCCCGGAGGGGGCGGACAGCCACTGGCCAGGGTCGAGCCCCTCCGGCGGGGCTGCGCCTCGGGAAGCATCTGCCTGCTCTCTCCCGCGACGCGCCCACTCCCCGCTCCACCCCGGGCGCGGCGGGGCTTCGCGCCGACGTCGGTGCGGGGCGGCCGGAGCCCGCCCGGCGGCGGCGGCAGCGCCTCCCCCGCCCCCGCCTCCCGCGGCTCCGGCGCTGCCGCCGCCGGCGGGGCGGCCGTGCCGGGGCCGGCGCTGCGGGGGCGGCGGGAGCGCGGCCGTGCGGCGCTCCCCACACAGCGCCCGAGGAGCGGGGGTCCTGCTGCGCGGGGCCGAGAGACGCCCGGCCAGGGGCAGGGACGCGTCCCCCACGCCCCTCGTCCCCGCGGGGGAGGGGGGCTCGGCAGCCCGGCCGACTGCCCTTTGTACCGGAGGTCCCTTCCGTGCGGGGCCGGGAGTTCCCGGACCGCCATCGGCCGGGCTCTATCCGCACTGGGGGTGCGTCGCTCCGCAGGAGCTCGGACCCGGCGATGTCAGAGGCTCGGCCGGCGACCTCGCCTCCTCCTCCTCCTCCTCCTCCTCTTGGAGGAGAAGATCTTCAGATCCGAGCCAGCGTTGAGCTTCTATCGCGGGCATCTTTTGGAAAGGAAAGCCTGGGGAGCATAGGGCGTGGAGTGTGAGACCCCTGCGATCCGGCACCTGGGCGGGTGGGGCGCTGCCCCCGCAGCGGATCGAGGGTTGCTGGGGCCCGTGGGCGCCCCGGGGATGTTGTCCCGCGTCCTCCCGTCTGCCCCGTCTCCTCTGATGCTCTTCCAGCTTGCATGAACCATCTACCTACCGTCCACCAAGCTGGGGAGGATGAGCAAGAGGTGGCCGCAGCGTTCATCCGACGGCAGAGTCATCTAAATTCCCGTTTCTGCTTCAGAAGTCATGTAAACGTTTTAAACTAACTCTAAGAAGAGGCCGTGAAAGACCTGGTTCCAAGCACCTCTGGGTACCTCTGGTCTCCTCAGAAAAGCAGACCCCAGCTACACGGGCATCCAGGGGCAATTAAGCCAACACCCCCCACCACCTCTCGGAAGAGCGTCGAGTGGTGGTGCATGAAGTAGTGCAGGGGAGGACTTTTCTGCTATGACTGTTGCAAGCTGCCCAATATTTAAATATCCAGAGAGCCACAGTGAGGGTGGGAGCCCAGCGAACGCACGGTGATTCACCTCAGCGCTCCTGACGAACATGCCAGCGCGGATAGCAGGTAGTGGGGTGTCTTCCCAGCAGGTGGAGTCAGGAGGCAAACAAACTTGCTCAAAAGGTACCGCCACCCGGCTGAGGACAGCTTTTTAATTTCGTTTTTCTGTGTGAAGGGTTTTGCTGCCATCAAATAAAGTGAACCCTGGCTTTAGAGTCGCCTGGCTTACTTCTGAATGGAAAGTTAGCACCTGCTGAAGCAGTTCTCAGGTGTTTTTCTTCCAGCTGCCACTTTCTCTTACAGACTACAGCCAAATTTTACAGCTTGCCTTTCTTACAGAAACCTGCATGCAAAAGCAGCTGGCTGCCTTTTTGCGGCTCAAGCCATTCTGAGAAGGGTGGGAGGGACAGGAACAAGGGAGCTTAGTGCTCAGAAGGAGGTGCTGGGCTTAGCATGCACCAAGGTCCAAGAAAAAGGAACTTTTTGCCACTTTTCCCAGCAGCTGATAAAAGAGTTCCTCCAGATAATACCATTGAAGAAAATTGTCCTCCTTCACATTGGGATGGGGGGGAAACCATAATAAGAATTGAGAGACTCAAAGAATACTGATGTAAATTGTTATCCCTTTAGGATTTAAACTTTCACTGTTGGTTTTATCCTTTTATCTTTTTATCTCCTGTGGAGAAAAGAGAACCAGTGGAAGCCAAAGAGAAACAGTGGAAGCTGCTTTTATGAGCTCTCATAGTGCCACAATTCACTCTTCACAGCATTCTCTGGTAGGAGAAGTTACATCAGGGGATGTTCTCATTAGCTGCACTAGGTCTGGCACCACGGAGCAGCACCCCTATGGACTCACTGCAGTCGTGTCCCTCTCATGCCACAGCTGCCCCGCGGTGGGCTTGGGTGAGTCACAGTTCTAAATGCTTCAGATGTTTGTGGAAGAGGAGCTGCTCAGAAGCAAAACCTTATGCTGAAGCCTAGGGAAAGTGGGAGGTTGCCCCTTCCTGATACTGCAGCAGTAAATTGAAAGAGGTAAAATAGACAGCCAGTTTCTCCCAAGGTCCAGCTATTTAGGGTTTTTTTGTATGTTACCCAGCTAGTACTGTTCATTCTATAATTGGAATGCATCACATTTTCACTGATGGGTTTTATATTTTTTTTCAAAATGGATTGCATGTTTCTCTGTTTTCTTAGTGAATAGTATTCATCTGCTTAAGTATAAATCTGTCATCCCATAATCTGGAAATAGCTTTCCTAAAGTCTGGGTGGTTTTTTAATGAATTCCTATTTTGTTAACCATTACCTTGACACAGAAGCAGCACTTTCTCATTTGTTCTGCTTTAAGCAATTCCCCTGTGCCCCATGGGACTGCAAGCATGAGTACTTACTTCTTAGTATGTGTGTGAAATACTGATCCCACCCATAAATAACTACTGGAAATTATTAACTGTACCCAATGGTTTTATTTCCGCCTGTGCTCAGGAGTCATCACAACACTGAATTCTGCAGAGAAGAGGCTGAGCTAGTGTTCTATGTTGTGATATTATAGTTTTGCTTTGTACGTGAAAAGTGAGGGAGGTCCAAACCTTCTAAAATTTCAGTGATTTTTTTTTTTGTTATGAGGGAAAATATTTTTCCACACAGTATGTAAATTTTGCAGTTGTGTAATTTGTCTCATTTGCACCATCTTTTATTCTGTAAATGTATTTTTTTTTTTCATTTAATGGTTCTAGAAGTAAGGATGCCACTTGTGACAGGCACTCTGCTAATTTTCTTGGTCAGGTGAAGAATTCAAAAGAAAAATTCCCAGCTGGACCTATGAATTGTGTAGAGATATTTCCAAAATCTTTTGCAGATGCCTGCATTGCAAGCTGTATGGAGACAAGTTATTTTCTGTCATAAGTTATATATCTTTTTTGCTTGGCATGGTGTACCCCATAGGAATTACCCAGAGCACAGTATTATCAAAGAAGAGTTTGCTCAGATTTGGTTTGTTTGAAGCATGGGAGGTGTGAGCATTGAGCTGTCTACAGAAGGCATGCTGTATCTTTTGATAAAATGATTGTAAATAATGCATTTGAGTGAGGTCTATATTCACAACTTGGATAAAATACTGGAATTTGCAAAACACATCATTTAAATAAAAAAGGTAATACATTCACCCTAATCCAGTTCAGGGTCAAAAGAATGGGACTTTGCCATTGGTTTTAGCATAAGTTATGTCAGTCCCTATAAGGCCTACATAGGAATATTTAATTATTTACATACAACTTGGTATTCTTCACTCCTGGAAGTGATCTGGCTGAAAACTCTGAGAACAGTTACAGCACTATCAGCAGCAATGCAGGCTTCCAAAGCCTGCCTGCTGGAAAACACACCAGCTCTGTGAGGGGGAAATTCATAGAGTGATTATAGCTGCCATTCAGACCAAGCATCCCTAATGAGATAATTTTGCTTTTCATTTTTGGAAAAGGAGATCACTCCAGAATTAGGGGTTTGCAGAGTGACAGGTAAACATATTTAAGAAACTACTGTCAGTTGCAGAAGTCCATTCCCAACATGAAAGGAAACATCAGGAGAACTACAGAAATGCTCAAGAGTCTGGAAAACACGCAAACAGTTTAGACTAGGATTATTTAAAGAATAGAACAGTGTTTTATTTCTAATCCCATAAACTATCCAATTATTCAAGAACTGTCTTTTTAAAACAGCTCTTTTCAAAATTAATGAATGTTAATTTTTTGTTAGCTTTGTTTTGTAGAAACCTGAAAAATCAGGACTCATGTATTTATCCAATATCAGGTAACTCATTAGAGTAATGTATAAATTATTTTAATGTCACAATAGAGTTATTTAAATCAGTTGCATAATGCACAATAATCTCAGTATTTCTCTTAATGTACAAAAAAGGCATGGGTAATTACATTTGTCTCTTTGCTTAAATTTATATTTTTAACTTATATTATGTCATTTAATCTCCCTGAGTTGATTCTTCAGTTCACAACTCAGGATGTTCTAAGAGGATCTCCAAAACATTTTAAAGTGAAGGAAAAAAACCCTGACATATGCCTCTAGAAGATAATTTGTTGGGTTTTAGTGTGTTTTTTGGGTTTTTTAAAGAACAATGCATTCAGTCATTAATTTGGAGAAACAAAAGCAAAGAAATAGAAAATGAAAAATACAAAAAATTCACTTGTATCCAAGTTTTCAAAGAATAAACAAAAATGAATAGAGACATTCCAGTTGTTGTACTTCTGCCACATTCAATTTTCTCTAGAAGAGGCTATTTTAATTTAGCAATACTTGTTTTCATTAGTACAGCACTCAATAGTTATCCATATTGGTAGTAGAAACACAGTGGGTTTTGCTTGCACTGTGTAGAGAAGGGAAAGGAAAAGCAAACAAGATAATGAAAATCTAGGGAATGTTTCCAAAGAGTGGGCATCTGATTCCCTCAGAATGAGCAAGTATTTTCTATCTTCACTTGGAATCCAACACCCCAGGCTTCATTAAGCCAGTGTCTAGCTGTACATGATTCTAGAGAGAATGTCAGCCAAGCATCAAAAAGAAAAACTGTTCAGAAGAATTAAATGCACTGGCAGTTACAAGAAATGTCCTCTCTAGTGCTTGTGCAGTATATAAATAATAAAATATTCTAGATTACACAAAATTTCACTAGAAACTATTTAAGAGCCTTATGAGATGTCTACAAACCACCAGCAGGCATATTTAATAAATCATACATACTTATGAAGTCACATCAATGTAAGTTTCCCCTTAATACAAAAATGTATTTAAAACAAGAAATTTCACATTATTTGAAGTTCAAAGTACTGTAAAAATCTATTAAACCTCAAGACTGAAATATGTATTTTCATACTGATTAAATTATCTATCTTTGCAAGAGTGGCCTGGGGTCTATGTGTCATTAAGGCTTTGCTTACCCCCTCAGTATATGTTTTAAATTAAACTAAAGCAGTGCTAAAAGGCAATACTGGTTTTGTGAAAAAGGTGAATTTTGGTTCCAATCCTGACTCTGCTAGACAGAAATTCGTATTTCTGATTAGCATTGCATTTTAAAAAACTCTCATTGCCTGAAAAATATAACTGTTATAGACACATAACTAATTAAACCCCAGTAAATGTAGGCTTAATCATTCTCATTTTCATCATTTGTTTGTCACTCAATTTGACATGTGTAAAATTAGGTTTTGGCCCTCCAAACAAATTGGTGTTGTGTTGGGTGTGAAAGTTCTCTCACAGCACCATGATGAGTGACTGACATAGAGGTCCTTGAGTGGGGAGATGTTTTCAGGGTGGAGGTGTTAACTGTAGTCTCTAGAGGGAGGCACTGCTGTCTCCCACCCACAGAATGCCTGCCAGAGCCTCGGGATCACACATCCATGTGTGGGCTTGAGGGGCTTTACACATGCTTGGCCATAATGGCATGTAGTACAGGGAAGCTGGGCAATGTTTAACTGCCTTTATGGCTGGTTATCGGGATCACAAAGATACATTAGAGAAGAAAACTAATTGATTTCTCTGAGCTTTTTAAGTAAAGATGATATTGGCAGAATTCATTGGAAAAGGGTAACCATCTTTATGCAATATTTAGAGACAGCAGGTGAAGAGGAAAAACTTCAGATTTCTCCAGATACATCTGATTTTCCCTATAGTCTCCTCCTTCACTCTGCAGCCTGTAAGGAATCTGCAGAGTAGGGATTAATTTTCAGCATTTCATCCAGCATCATAATTATAACCCATGTGAGTCTAGAGGGTTTGATTAGCATGAGAACATCAGCTACTACTTTTATAGTTAAACTTACTGTATGGAATCAGGAGCATAATTATGAGTAGATTTCTAAATATACAACACATATTAAAGAAAGTAGGATGAGAATGTTTGCATCTCAAAGGACTTAAATTTAGGTTCTGATGACAAAACAAGTAAGTGATTGCATGCAGTTGGGGCCAAACACTAGCCTGGAATAGAGATCTAGCACGAAAGCACTACAGAGACAAAATTCATGCTTATCATGTTGATTCACAAGACAAATTCACCTTCTCACTTCCAGTGTTATTCTCCTCTCACTTCTCTTCACACATGCACACAACTGACATTTATTCCAGTATGGTTAGTAATTGAAAATCTGATGCTGTTTTTCCTGTAACAGCTGCCCATTTAAATCTCACCAACCAAACTTCTAATAGAAACTAAGTGTAGTTATTGAGGATCAGATGCTCAGAGAGAGCTGCAAATCACAGAACACAAATCTTGAGGGAAATGTCTGAGCGTTAAAATGCTGCTTGCCTTCATCTGAACCTAATGATTCACTCTGTACAGCAGAGGCACAGATGGCTGTGCATCTGAGGTCTCCCTTAGCTCACCTCCTTTCCTCCTGGCACTTAAGTGAAATCAGATGAAGAGCTCCTAGATCAGTCCTGTATTTCTGAAGGAGCACTGTAAGGCTGGTGCTTCTTCAGTCATTTGAAACAGATACAGAGACAGGGATGAGAGGTCTAGATGGTCTGGCTCTAGATGGTCCAGACATTTAAATGTAACAAGATCTCCCAGAGGAATCTCATTTTGTCTGCCACTTTTTTTTTTTTTCCCTCTATTTCTATTTTTGATATATTTTATGGCTTTGGGGTACAACCCCCTCCTTAGCTCTTTATCATCATGAAGCCTTTGGAGGCAGTCATGTCTAAAATACTCCTCTGTGTTTTGTTTTTAAACACTGCTATTTCAAAGAGAAAAATAAATCCTAGGAAGAGAGGAGATGCAGTAGTTATCACCTTCATAAGTCCAAACCAGTCATTTTAGTTATTGCGGAATATCAAAAAGCAAGAATGTTAGAACTTTTCAATCAGAGGACTGTCAACGCATTTCAGTCCTGTTTGTG